CCTGGCTCAGTCCTGGCCATTGTGGCCATCTGTGGAGTAAACCAGCACATGGACATTCTCTCTCTGTCTCTCCCTTTCTGTCTCTGTAACTCTGTCAAATAAATAAATATATCTTTAAAAAAAAAATAAAGATATAATACATCAGTTAAGGCAAGATTTTTAAAAGTATAGTCACTGGATCATCAGCACAGAAATACCTGGGATATTTAAAATGGCAGAACTGAGCACAATTTAAAATACATTGAAGCACCCATTAATCAGAGAATACAGTTATGTATTTTTAAACAATCAGAATCTCTTAGGATAGAAACCAAAATCTGCCATCCTTTCAAGCTCCAGTTCTTATGTTGACTGTCATAAGCTATAGGAAACATGAATGATGGCACTGTGAATAAAAAAATAGAAAAGGAAATTGGGATTAAAATCCCATGTGGCTTTAAATGACACCTGATATCAGACTAAGTATTTCTAGCGACCAAAAACAAAAACAAACAAACAAAAAAACTTTGGAGAACAATTTGAAGTACACAAAAAATTCTTCCTTACACTGAGCCAAAATTTTGTACCTATAAATTTCTCCTCTGAGATTTAATTACAGTTCTAGAAGTGGTACAGAATAAATCATGCCCTTTTTAAAACAGGGCAGATAGCAGCCAGTGTTGGGCAGCAAGTGAAGCCACTGCTTGCAAGTATCAGCATCCCTTTTCAGAGCACTAGTTAGAGACTTGGCTACTCTGCTTCCAGTTCAGCTCCCTACTAATGTGTCTGGGAAGGCAGCAGAAAGTAACCTAAATTCTTGGACTCCTGCCACCATATGGAAGACCTGGATGGAGTTCCAAACTCCTGGCTTTGGCAGAGCCCAGCTTCATCTTTGTAGCCTTCTTTGTCACTGTACCTTTCAAATAAAAATAATTCTTAAAAAAAAAAAAAAAAAAACAAACAAACAACAGGGATGGCACAGTGGCGCAACAGGTTAAAAACCTGGTCTGAAGCACCAGCATTCCATATGAGCGCCAGTTCCAGTCCCGGCTGCTCCTCTTCCGATCCAGCTCTCTGCTATGGCCTGGGATAGCAATAGAAGATGGTCCTGCACCCATGTGGGAGACCCGGAAGAAGCTCCTGGCTCCTGGCTCCTAGCTTGGGATCAGCACAGCTCCAGCCATTGCGGCCATCTGGGGAACGAACCAACAGATGGAAGACCTCTCTCTCTCTGTGTCTCTACCTCTCTCTGTAACTCTGTCTTGCAAATAAATATAAAATAAATCTTTAAAACAAAAACATTAAAACAGGACAGATAATCAATTGTTTGAAGACAACCATTGTGTCCCTTTAGTCATTTACTTCCTAATAAACAATTCCAGTTTTATCAACCCTGTTATTTTTTAAGTAAACAATTCCAGTTTCTCAATCCTTTGTCATTTGTTAAGACCCTTTATCTTCCTGTTCACTATCAGGTAGTACTGTCTTAAAAGTTGAATTCTATTACTGATCTCTTACACTTAACTTTTCATACCTTGCATCATTCACAATTTTTCAAGTTTACCCATATACTCTCCCAAACCTCTGATTAAATGGTGAAGAGAAAATGATTGATGGGAAGCCCTGAAAAGTTTTAAAAATTTACTTGCAAATTAACATTAACTAATTAAACACCAACATATGGAAACTTAAATAAAACTGTCAAAATGGCAAAAGAAAATGTATGATCAAAAGACCTAATTTCAGTTCCTATCTTGAAAACTTCCAATTGTATAACTCTGAGAAAGACACAAAACTGCTATTATTTTGGTTTGTAGAAATCACAATATGAGTAAGAGTAAATTATACTGAAAGACAAGATAGCAAGTTATTTTTTTTTAAATAGGAGCAAGAAGCATGAAATTATGCTGAAAATTTAATAAAGCTTTGATGCTTAATTTTAGGCTTTCCCTGGCATGAAGAATAAAAATGATAATGAATTTTTTAAATGAGAAAATAAAAATTACTTTAGTTGGTATTCTTAAAACTAGTCTTAAAATGGGTAATATTTTGGCATTTTTTTCCAGTCAGACACCTTTCTTTAAACAAAACCTTTTGGGGCTAGTGCTGTGGCATAGCTTGCTAAGCCTCTGCCTGCAACGCTGGCATCCTAAATGGGCACTGGTTCATGTACCGGCTGCTCCTCTTCTGATCCAGCTCTCTGCTATGGCCTGGGAAAGCAGTGGAAGATGGCCCAAGTGTTTGGTAAAACTCCTGATTCCTGGCTTCAGATCGGCCCAGCTCTAGCCATTCCAGCCATTTGGGGAGTGAAGCAGCAGATAGAAGACTTCTCTCTCTTTCTCTCTCTCTCACTCTCTATAACTCTGCCCTTCAAATAAATAAATAAATCTTTAAAAAAAAAAAAAACTCTTTCAGAGAATTCTATTATATAAAATAAGTAAAAGTGAAAGCTTTCTAATATATTAAATGAGTAAAAGTGACATTGGGGTCTAAGACTAACTTTCAAAACTCCATATCCTCCTACTTTTTGCAAAGGAACTCTAAGGCTCAATGTACTGTCATTTGAAAACTACAGGTCAAAGATAAGGTAGATGTTCCACATCCTACAGTGTATTCCCCATGTGTGTAAAGAAAATGTTTCCTTTGCTTTGTTTTGCTATTTTCTAAAGAAACTATTTTTAAATGATATTAGTTTATAACATTTTGTTCATTTGTGCAAATAGCATTTATCTCATGTTTCTATAAAATAAGAGTTATATTAATATTAATATCATCTTAACATCAAGGGATCATTCCAATTGGTCTGATTCCCTTCTAGCCTTAAGATCCATAATATCCTCTTAGACAATTAACTTTATACTTCTGCACTCTTTATATAATTTCTGGTTTATCATATGTTAGTCTAAAGAGAATTTTGTGAAGAAGGATTGAGGGTTCAACATAGAAGAATGTCAAGACTAATAGATGTGAAACTAGATGTGATCGTGACGGAAAGTAAGAAGTACATTTTAATGCACTACCAGGAACTGAAAGAAAGGCTTCACAAAATAACATTTAATCATATATTTTCTATATTATTTTGTCCTAATTCATTTTTAAAGCTACTTAATTTCACAACCTATTGGCCTTGATCTCTAGTTTTAAAAACACTAGCTTAGGGCTGGCATTGTAGCATAGCAAGCCAAGTCATTGCCTGAAATGCCAGCATCCCTTATGGGTACCAGTTCATGTCCTGGCTGCTCCACTTCTGATCCATCTCCCTACTAAAGGCCTGGGAAAGCAATGGAAGATGACCCAAGTGTTTCGGCCTGTGCCTCCCATGTGGGAAACTCTAATAAAGCTCTGGCTTCTGGCTTTAGCCTGGCTCCGACAGGGTGGTTGTAGCCATGTGGTAGGCAAACCAGAAGATGAAAGATCTGTCTCTCCCTCTCTCTTTCAAATAAATACATAAATATTTAAAAGAAACAGTACTCCATACTTTGTGTGTTTGTGTGGGTGCAGTCTGTTGAAATCTTTACTTAGTATATACTAAGTTGATCTTCTCTATATAGAGATAATCGAAAATCAATCTTGATGAAGAATGGGACGGGAGAGGGAGTAGGAGATGGGATGGTTGCAGGTGGGAGGGAGGTTATGGGGGAAAAGCTGCTATAATTCAAAAGTTGTACCTTGGAAATTTATATTTATTAAATATAAGTTGAAAAAAAGGAAAAAAAACATTAGTTTGATTGATCAAGACTAACAAACATTTTTCTGTAAAAGTTGAAAAAGTAAATATTTTAGGCTTTGTAGGCCACATACAGTCAGTCTGTTGTAACCACTCAACTCTGCTGAAGAATGGTATAAATGGCTGGGAGCAGCCATAGACAATCCAGAGACACATGAGTGTGGCTGTGTTCCAAGTAAATTTTGCTTACAAAAACAGGTGATGTGCTGAATTTTGCCTGTGGCCATAGTTTGAGGATCTCAAGTCTATATTATACTATACAGATCCACACTAGAGTACACTCAGCTACTCTATATTAAGCAGCTAAAGCATTAGTACCTCTAAAATACCTAGAAGATACAAAGGTTTAGGAGGTATACTCAGCCATAACAGTAGACAGGTATTCTATACCATGGTGTAATGCTTTTACTCTTTATCACTCCAGAATGAGAGATACACTGTTGAAATTCAGTTTAATTGCTAATCACTTTAGCAATTGTCAACACATTACACTAATCTGTACTGCACCTGCCTTCATTCATTCATTCATTCAATATCAATAATATATCTACTAGGGAAAACTACAAAAAAAATTTAGACAATTATAGAAAAGACAATTATAAAAAATTATATAAAAGACAATTATAAAAAAGAGACAATGACTGTGAAAAAATAGTAGTAAATACTAAAAATCTAAAAATTCATTTAAAAAAGCAATCATTTCTGGACTCCAAAACAAATAACAGATCATCTCTATTCCAAAGAGAGTCTCTCAAACCCAATATCCAGTTTAATGTTCCTAAATTTACTGCTTTATGTTTTTAAGTTGTTAATGGGTAAACAGCTTAAGATTTTGCAGGTTCTATTAACTTTTTTTTTTAAAGATTATTTATTTGAGAGACAGAGTCACAGAAAGAGAGAGAAAGAGGCAGAGAGAAAGTTTTCCAACCACTGGTTCATTCCTCAAATGGCCACAAAAGCCAGAGCTGGGCTAATCCAAAGCCAGGAACCAGGAGCTTCTTCCAGGTTTCCCATGTGGATGCAGGGGCCCAAGCACTGGGGCCATCTTCTACTGCTTTCCCAGGCCAGAAGCAGAGCGCTCCTCAGAAGAGGAGTAACCAGGACACAAACTGGTACACATTAAGGGGCGCTGGCACCGCAGGCGGAGGCTTATCCTACTGCATCACAGCGCTGGCCCCAGTTTTGAAAACACTGTTTATTATTTTGCTTTAACTTTGATTTGGAATTATCTGTAACTTTCTTTCCACTCAATTCCAAGATTAATGAAGAGGTGATAGCATGAGCAAAAGCTTACCTTTCAGCTTGAAGCTTAGTGGTTTTTACTATTAAATCTTGAGTCTGTTCTTTTGCTGCCTAAAATCATAAACATATCTAGCATCAGTACATTCACATTTCATTGTTTCAAAAAATTAGTATTCTCATATTTTAGAGTTCAGACTTGCAGCAAATGAGATCACTCTCTAGAACCCAAGAGTTTAAAAGAGGCCCAAATAACTAAAATATATATTTCATGGCTCATACTCTAACTTTAGCAGGAGGACCTTGCTCAGAATTCTCAATACATACAAACAAAATGCTAAGGCTCAGAGAGAAAAGCTGAATACGGAACCTAATAGTTCTTGATGGCTTTTAGTGGAAACCGAAGCACTGTAAGAGTAAGTTAGGGGTGCCAGCGCCGCGGCTCACTAGGCTAATCCTCCGCCTGCGGCGCCGGCACCTGGGGTTCTAGCCCCAGTTGGGGCGCCGGATTCTGTCCCGGTTGCTCCTCTTCCAGGCCAGCTCTCTACAGTGGCCCGGGAGTGCAGTGGAGGATGGCCCAGGTCCTTGGGCCCTGCACCCACATGGGAGACCAGCTGGAAGCACCTGGCTCTGCCGCAGTGGCCACTTGGGGGGTGAACCAATGGAAAAATGAAGACCTTTCTCTCTGTTTTTCTCTCTCACTGTCTAACTCTGCCCATCTAAAAAAAATAAAAAATAAAGAGTAAGATAGGGGCTGGCACTGTGGTATAGTGGGTAAAGCTGCCACCTGCAGTGCCAGCATTCCATATGGGTGCTGGTTCGATTCCCAGCTGCTCCACTTCCAGTGCAGCTCTCTGCTATGGCCTGGTATAGCATAAGATGGTCCAAATCCTTGGGCCCCTGTACCCACGTGGGAGACCCAGAGGAAGTTCCTGGCTCCGGGCTTTGATCAGCACAGCTCCGGCCATTGTGGCCAATTGGGGAGTGAACCAGTGGATGGAAGACCTCTCTCTCTGCCTCCTCTTCTCTCTCTGTGTAACTCTGACTTTCAAATAAATAAATAAATCTTAAAAAAAAAAAAAATAAGAGTAAGTTAAGGATGAAGAACATGGCTTCATACTGAGCCGAGAGAATCTAATTTCTAAATGGGGTATATTAAGTCACTGAAGTACCAGTGTGGAACTCAAGAAATGTTCAAGATAGAAACAAAAATTCGACAACTGGAGTTACAAACTATTGCCAAACAGGGTTGTGATGACAATTAGACACAGCCCAATATAAAGGACTCAAGGATGATTCTGACCAAATTTTGTATTAACCAATGAGCTCCCCTCAAGTCAGAGCTGAAATGATCAGGAACAAAAACTTGATTTAAAAAAATAGCATTCAATGCAAAGACTAACCAAATATTTCTAAAGTGAGTTCAAACAACAGACAGAAGTGGACAATTAAAGTCTCTCAAGTTCCTAACTAGAGAACACAACAAAAATAAGGTACTAAGCAAACAGAGGAGAAGCAAGTGAGAAATACAGAGATATATGGTCCATACCTTGAAGGGACATTAACTGAGCCAGAATTAAGTACCCAGTGAGTAAAAGCAATAAAGTAGACAAAAGACATAAAGTGCTGGAAAAGTCAGTTATTAGAGAGACAACCAGAACAAACATCTCAAACAGTGGGTCAGTTTCATTCTAGAACAATAAAATAAACAGCCAATCTTTTGCTAAGATGGTTTCTAGAGCTGTCTTAGATCTAGATACCCCCTGTTGTGGATTTAAAAGTCTCATCCATCCACAAACTCTATTCTCAAGATAATGAAGTCCAAGTCTGTTTTAATGCTTCCAATGTATCCTCATAATAACAGCTCCCATCCCACTTCTACCGAAGCTATTTTGAGTCTTTGTTCCTTGCAACCAAATGATGTGCTTGCCAAATAGCACATACTTTTGAGAAAACAGGTTTGATTCTGGATAATTCAGTATTATCACTACCTTTTAAGCCACAGAACTGAATATGATAGCTCTCAAAATACCATGCTGGAGCCGGCGCCGCGGCTCACTAGGCTAATCCTCTGCCTAGCGGCGCCGGCACACCGGGTTCTAGTCCCGGTCGGGGCGCTGGATTCTGTCCCGGTTGCCCCTCTTCCAGGCCAGCTCTCTGCTGTGGCCAGGGAGTGCAGTGGAGGATGGCCCAGGTGCTTGGGCCCTGCACCCCATGGGAGACCAGGAAAAGCACCTGGCTCCTGGCTCCTGCCATCGGATCAGCGCGGTGCGCCGGCTGCAGCACGCCGGCCGCGGCGGCCATTGGAGGGATTGGAGGGTGAACCAATGGCAAAGGAAGACCTTTCTCTCTGTCTCTCTCTCTCACTGTCCACTCTGCCTGTCAAAAAAAGAAAGAAATCATATTGGCGATAATGTTTGATACCATGCTGACACCATTAAAGGGCAATCCAGTAACTTCCGATGCTTCTATTTCCTAATGTCATTTGCTTTTTACTTTATAATTTTTATTTATTTTTATTACTATAAAGAGAACAGATTTCATGTAGTTCATAGGTACAGTTCTAAGAAGATAATCTACTTCCCTCCCTTTTCCATCCTTCCCCAAATCTCCCTTTCTCTCCCTTCTTTTCATTAATTTTTGCAAAGATATTATTTAATGTGGGCTTAGTTCACCACCAACCATAATATTCAACAAGAAAAAGCAGGAAGACTACAGTTTCATAGGATTATAAAAAAGGGCTAAAAACAACAATCATATCACAAGAGTTCTATCTCATTCCTTGCACATTTTGAACTTGTGCAAATTTTTCAAATTTTTCAAATTTTTCAATTCTACAAAATATACATTTTAATATTTCTGAAAAAGAATACCTCACAAAACCAGTGTCAAAAAATACTAGCTTCTTTCTAGTTCCATTCATCATGAAACTGAATGCATATTACAATCCATACCATCTATCACTGAAATATAGTATTTTAGTACAATGTTATGCAACAAGAATTTGCAAACAGTTTTTGCATATTTCCTAACTCTTCATTTAGCAACTGTGGTAATTCCAAAATAAGTTTTAGCAATATTAATGAAGATGATTATTTTAAACAATGTTAATTTATCTTAAATATTAATATGATGATTTTACACTAAATAATAAACATGTGACTCAAATTGTAATTTACAAAAGCAATATCACAAAGGAATAAGTCAGAGTATAAATATATATATCTGATTAAATTTTAAATGTTATATCATAATAATAATTTCTAAAATACCCCTTTATTCACAGTACTTGGGAAAATAATTAAGTAGTTAAATTAATCCTTATAACACCTATAAAAGAAAATGGGCATTAGGACATTTTTAAATACTTTGAGTGAATTAAAAATACTATTCTAGTTATTGTAGTATGAGTGTATACTATTAAGATTCCAATAACATCATATCCAAATAAATTAGTTTTAAGCAAAATTGGAATGGATGTACAAGATTTTCAAAACCATGGATCTAATCCCTAATGATCTTTAAAAAAAAACCATAAATATGCATCAAAGGTGAATGTAATCAGTAATATCAAATATTTTTTCAAGTTCAACTAAAAAGCTATGAGGAAATATTCCACAAATGATGAATTTGTTCTATATCTTGATTATGATAGTTGTTTCACGGTTGTAAAAAACTGTCATGCACATCAGTTTGCATGCTTCAAATCAATGCAGTCTACTACCGTACATAAATTATTTCTCAGTAAAGTTTACGTGGAAAAAAAAATGAAAGAAAATGGGTCCATGACACCACAGAGGAAGAATAGGATGGGGTATTACTAAGAAAAAACAAAGGACAAGATAGAAGGAGATTGACTGTGATTTAAAATGGCTATAAACTGTTTTGACAACAGAACGAAGAATAAACATACTTCTATCTTCTTACACATAAAAATAGCTACCATGAAAAGAATAAAAATATATAATTAAGAATTATAAAATAAGTGGTACTAACACTAAAAATATAAGGAGCTAAGTAATCAACACAAGATTCTAATATGAAACACTCTTGTAGAACATAAATTAGAGAAAAATCAATAATTCAAGGAAGCTATAAGATGAAAAAGGGAAATAAGGAAAAAGTTGAGAAAAGCACTGGCCAAATGAAATCACTAACCAGCAAAATATCTGCAAAAAATGTGAAATGTCAACAATAATTAGCAAGGATTACATTATTATAGAATAATGATGTAAAATTAGACTAAGAGACCATAAATATGCTAGTTATATTTGACATATTAATAAAAATATAGACAAAACTGGGAAAAGTTAAAATTAAAGAAACAGGAAATTGACTATTCCCACAGAAAGTTCATGGGAATAGCTTACAATTAATTTTTAAGACTATATAGAGGCACCGGCACTGTGGTATAGCAGGTAAATCCGCAGCCTGCAGTGCCAACATCCCATATGGGTGCCGGTTCGAGTCCCAGCTGCTCCACTTCTGATCCACCTCTCTGCTATGGCCTGGGAAAGCAGTACAAGATGGCCCAAGTCCTTGGGTCCCTGCACCCGCATGGGAAACCTGGAAGAAGCTCCTGGCTCCTGGCTTCGGATTGGCGAAGCTCCAGCCATTGCAGCCAATTGGGGAGTGGACCAGAGGATGGAAGACCACTCTCTCTCTCTCTGCCTCTACTTTTCTCTGTGTAACTCTGCCTTTCAAATAAATAAATAAATCTTTAAAAAAAAAAAAAAAAAGACTACATAGATTAATGATTCTTTGGAGAATCACTGCTGCTGTCAATGTTTTCAGTAGAATCATCAAGGTATAAGCTTGGACTTCAAAAGTGAGGGGGGTCAACATAATCATGACTGACCTTTAGGAGAAATTTGCCTATTCCAAAATCATATGCATGAGGGAAATAAGTCAAATACTGATTCTTCATGTTATAAATATTTTCCTGAGATTTACTAGGCAGAACATGAATCAGCTTTAAGCTGGGTCTTCAGGCACACCTTTTGCTTGAATTTATTTTAAGCCTTTCCACAAAGGAAGGCATTCTTGCTGGATATCTTCTAGGATATCATAGAATAAAAGACCTAAAACTACTGAGTTAGCTCTCTACTGGCTAAACCAAAATGTAAAATCTGAACAATATTAATAAACCATCACTGAAAGAAAGAGTAAGACAATTGTAGTTTAAATTAAAAAGTATGCAATTTCTATTAAAACTTCCTACAGGGCATGGTGAAATAGATATCCATACTTTTTTTTTTTTTTTTGTTATATATTGACAGGCAGAGTGGACAGTGTGAGAGAGAGACAGAGAGAAAGGTCTTCCTTTTTGCCGTTGGTTCACCCTCCAATGGCCGCCACTGCAGCCAGCGCACCGCGCTGATCCGATGGCAGGAGCCAGGAGCCAGGTGCTTTTCCTGGTCTCCCATGGGGTGCAGGGCCCAAGCACCTGGGCCATCCTCCACTGCACTCCCTGGCCATAGCAGAGAGCTGGCCTGGAAGAGGGGCAACCGGGACAGAATCCGGCGCCCTGACCGGGACTAGAACCCGGTGTGCCGGCGCCGCAAGGCGGAGGATTAGCCTATTGAGCCACGGCGCCGGCTCATACATTTTGTAGACTTACATAACAATTTCTGACCAGAAACTATATTAAAATCTAGCCATCATATAGTACCTGTAGGCGATTTGTCATATCTTGACAACAGCTGCTCATTGCTTGAACATCTTCATTTATGCTTTCAAGTTCCTGAAAAGGCAAAAAATAATAACAAACATCCTATATTCTTAAAGAAATTTCACTTCAGGGACTAAATACTTATTTCAGTCCCATAAATTTCTTCTTTGAAAAGACATAGCAAGAGATCCTATATTTAAGATTAGAAATGAATTAATAGTAGCATATAATACTAGCAAAGATGTAAGAAACTAGTCCACTCTTTTTAGAGGGTGTGACAATAGGAAAACAGCAAATGCTTTGAAAATATGAACACCTCCTTATTCAGGAATTCCAAGAATTTATCCTATGGCCAAAAAGTAGTAACTATTTAAAATTCTACATATTTTAATTAGGTAGATTTCACCACTCCACAATGCATATATACTTCAAAACATAATGCTGTACAAAACAACTGCATAATATAGTATCTGTAAATGTAAAATAATTTATCCTATAGAATTAATCAGCTATGTATACAACAATGAGTATGATTAACAGATTTACATAAACAGATGAATGTGTCCATGTTTGTGAAAAGATGTCTACGTAAGGCTAAAAATGTCATAAAGTAATACATATATGGTCTTGTCATTTTTTAGAAAAAATATATACTTATGTACAGAAGAATACAAGAAAGACCGTAGAATAAAAGTTATGTGTGACAGGATTGTAAATAATGGTTGAATTTCTGACATGAATATCTAACTTTTCTATAATGAATTCTTTGTAGATTATAATAGAAATATGCATACTTTAAAACTGAATAAACTAAAAATAATGCCTCTACCTATCCTGTTGGAAGTCACCACATACTAGATCAGGTCAAAAATCTGATAGTATCTTAGTAACATCTCTCCCTATTTACTTCCACCTTGAGCTCCCTCTACAGATGCATGAATTTAATTGTTCTCAAAATCCTATTAATTACACTCCCTGCATAGAAAACTCTCACCCACTTCTTTTACTTCAGTTTGGATCAATAGTGTTTTCTCACATGGACTGAAAAAAAACAAGCCTTCCAGCAGGTCTCCCAGGCTCTGTGATCAGCCTCTCTAAACCATTCTTTGCTCTTTATTAACTCAGTGTCTTAACATGAAAATATGCTCATATTAAAAAATGTGTCCAGCTAACCCTGCTTCATTATCATCTGTGACTGAATTCAATTCAGTGCCATTCAACAGAGAAATATGCAAGGAAGGAACATTTCAACGGTAGATGGGGTCTCTTGCACTCCCTGTCGACACAAAGGCCAGATCTTCATATAGAAACATGGCAGTTTTGGAGCCAGTGTTGCAGAGCAATGGGTTAAGCTACCACCTGTGATGCCAGCATCCCATACTAGAACAAAGGCAGCACAGGATGGGCTAAGTACTTGGGCCTTGGCCACCCACATGGGAGAAGAGGATGGCCTTTTTGGCTCCTGGTTTCAGCCTGGCCCAGTCCCAGCTGTTGCTGTCATAGGAAGATTAATCTCTCTTTGCCTCCCACCCCACCTCCCGCCCCATCACTCTGCATTTCAAATCAATACAACAAATCATTTTTTAAAAAAGATGGCAGTTTTATAAAGGGATGGGCCAATCAGGGCAAGAGATATGGAAAGACTCATAAAAATATGACCATAAATCTTTGTCCTAAAATTAAGATTTTTCCCCCTTTCTCTCCATAAGGTACTTTGAATTATAATAATCATAGCACCAGCTATTTCAAACATTACTGTATATTTTACCTAGCACATAAGTCCAATGATCAAACTAAGTCCTACACTGCTTTGAGGTAAACAGCAAAAGTAGCATGATTTCAAGCTATCAATTAGTATATGCCACAGACGATATCTAAGCAAACTAATCTCACCAGTCCCTTATATCACATAGTTCTAAATCCTTGATTATATTCCAGATCAATTTTCTGGTAAGAATTCTTTATGAGTGATGTTGTATACCTTTTCTAGGAGTCACATAGCAGCTAGAGATAACCAATGGTTAGATCAGTGGTCTTCCACCCTACCAAGGGGGCATCTGGCAGTGTTGAGACTTTCTTGGTAGGAATAACTACAGCGGAGGTCATACTGGCATTTAATAGGTTGTTGCTGAACAGTCTAACACTGCAGAAGATGGTCACCAAATATATTTCAGAAACCTTGAGCTAGATCTATAAATTAGCAAAGCTAATCTTCTAATTCTACCATTTCGTCATTTATTAGCAGGCTATTTCCATTAAGAAAAGCTTCCCTTTGACAACTGTTATGTAGTTGTCACTGAAGACAAGTGCCTGACTCTCTCCTTTTACTGCAGTTTTCTTAATAATAAGCAGTTTCTCATATGTACCAAAGATAACAAATGAAGGTCTGTTTGACTTTTAGCCTCACTATGAACTCATGGTCTTCCAGTCTGATGTTTCAGTCTACTGCAGTTACTCTCAATGATGCTGAAACTGTTCTATATTTGGCCACTGGAAGCCTCTTCAAGTTAGCTCCAGAGTTCTTCTAACATGTATCCAATAGTTTTAGACATTTTCCTTGCTCTCTGGTACTGATAGATTGTTCCTTTCAGTGGGAAATGGTGTTTAGAGAACCACAATTTGGATGTGTCCAATGCTATTACCTCTTCTTTTGTTTTTTTAATTAATATTACCAAGCTTTCCTTTCAATCAAGGAAATCCTATAACGCTGTTAAAAATGCTTTCATTGGCACTCATCAAAATCATATGTAACACTTCTATGACTCAGAGAAGTATGTTACTGTATAGTAACATATTTGAATCATGGAAATACACATGTAATATCACTATATCTTATAATAAAATATTACATAATCAAATATAGTAACATTATAAATAAAAATTATTTTCACCTTATTGTATTGGTTACACACTGACATAAGTCATTATTTATAAATTGAAATAATTTATTTTAATGTGAACATTTCACAAGTTACAATGCAGTAAAAATAATTCAGTACTAATTCATTTCTATTGGAGAAATGATTATTCAAGGGAGGTTTATTCAATAGGAGGATACTTCTGTTATATAAACCATTCAGAGAAATGTTATTTTTGTTGTTGTCAAAAGGCTAGAATTCTTGGGTCTGGCATTGTGGCATAGCAAGTTAAGCCATCACCATATGGGCACCAGTTCAAGTCCTGGCTGCTCCACTTCCAATCTAGCTCCCTTTTAATGTGCCTGTGAAGGCAGCCAAGGACAGTCCAACTCCTTGGGCCCCTGCACCAACATGGGAAACCCAGAAAAAACTCCTGACTCCCAGCTTTCGGTCTGACCTAGCCCTGGCCTTTGCAGCCATCTGGGGAATGAACCAGCAGATGGAAGATCTCTCCCTCTCTCTGTCTCTCCGCTCTCAGTGACTCTGCCATTTAAATAAATAAAAAAATTTAAAAAATGCTAAAATTCTTAAGAGAATCTCACACAGCAAATGTTACAAGTTTCTAAGAATCAGCATTAGTGAAAGTTACAGATTCAGAAATTACACTAATCCAGATAAAGACCCAGATTCTCTATTTGAACACAGTACACTAATAACAAATATATCAACTTAAAAAAAAAAATACTTAGCACACAACCCGACATATTGTAAGTTCTCAACAAATGTCAGATAAAAATAATTTACATACCTCTTTCACGTCCTTGAAAATCCTTACAAATTCTTCATTGATGGCCAAACTTCTGCGTTCTATATCTCCACGTAAATTTCTTCGAGTCCGCAAACTGTTTTCAACAAAAAAGGTTGAAAGTGCCTTGAGAGCTTCCAACATTTCCTACACAATTGGTAACAGAAAAAAGTTACTGATTTATTTTATTTTATTTTATTTAAGGTATACAAGTTTCATGTATTTCATATATACAGATCACTCTACCCTCCCATCTGCCATGTTCCCACCCTTCTACCTCCACCCTCTCTTAATTCCACTCTTAATTTTTACAAAGATCTATTTTTAGTTTACTTTACACTCATAAGATTAACCCTACACTAAGTACAGACTTCAACAAATAGTGTGAAGAAAAAAACACTGTTCCTCAACAGAAGAGACAAGGGCTGTAAACGATCATTGAATCTCAAAATGTCAATTTCACTACTGGGACTGACTTTTAAATGTTTTCATAATCTCAAACCAAAATCCAATGAAATCATTTTTAAATAATTTGATTCCATTACATAATTAAAAAAAAATACTGGATGACCTTCAAATTAACAGTAAACTTACTTCTGGAACATGGTTTCAGAGGCATACATACAACATGATTCACTACAGAATTGACTGGAAATTCAAAGATTGGAAATAACCTAAATGTCCTTGTACAAGAGATTGGTTAAATAAAATATTATTAAATTAATTGTAAAAAGGAAGAAATTCATTACTTACATGACTTTTGAGATGTGATAAGAGAAACAGCAAGGTATAGAAAATTATACTATCAACTGTTAAAAAAAGGAATACATACATGCATATTTATTTGTGCATGCATAAACTATGTCTGGAAGGATCCACATAAGAAATAAGTATCACTGGTAGCCTCCAGGCTAGGAACTGCATAACTGGAAGCAGAACTTAGAGGAACTTAAGACATAAAGATCTCTCTGAAGTGACTTTTGAACAAAGGACTGGGTAGTGAGAAAGAGGCATGAGAGCAAAGGAAACAGCAGGTATGAAGACCTTAAAGCAGTAAAAAGAAGGGCGAGGTGACAAAGCTCTAAGAAACTGTTAGAGGTTTTAGACAGGGGAGTAATATAATATGCTTTATATGTTTAAATGTTTATTCCAACTTTGTAAGTGAAATGATAGATGTGGGGTCAGAAAGGAAGTATATGAAAAAAATAAAAAAGTAATCCTGGCATGATTCAGTAGTCTTATACCAAGATAGTAGTCAGCGCAAATGAAAAGTACAGATTTCAAAATAATTTTTATAAGCTACAGCATATACAATTTGTTATTGAACTGGATGGTGTATGTGAAAAATTATCAAATCCAAAAATTACTTTTATGGTTTTTGTTTGAGTGGGTCAATGCTGGTATTCTTTACTAACATAGTAGAAGAACCAGTTTGAGCAAAGAAATCAAGAGTTCATGTTAAGTTTTTATGATGACCATCAGGCACCCAATTGGAAAGATAACAGAAACAACTGATTCTATAAATCCAAAGTTCAGTAGAGATTTCAAGAACAGGGCTATAAATTTGAGGGTCATCACAATTTTGTTGTCTAAAACCACAAAAGTTTTTAAAAGAGTTCTCCTACAAAGAATATGGATAGAGGAGAGAGCACAGGATCAAGCCTTGGATTTCCCAATAGCACCTAAATTCTACAAATACAAATTCCTACACCTGAATTAATGTATATTCTAACAAACTTACTCTTCCATGTTTCTGTAATATAGCTATAATACAGCTATTTTGAAATATCTACTGGACTGACAATAGAAAAGCTATTTAAATTCAATTCAACATCTGAGAACAAAAATGTTTACAAACACAGATACTTAGTGTATAAAAACAAAACCATAAAATGAAGCAATTCCTTTTGATTAGTCTTAAAATATCCTAACACTTAAAGTAGTAAATGAACAAAATCACAGAGACTACAGTGAAAATTACAATTCCACCAGTTACTGGTTCTGAGTTAAACCTAGCTGGTCTTCCTCCATGCCTTCTTCTTTTCATAGGTAAAAAGCAGATAACATCAATCAGCTGTACTACATGAGATAATCAATGTCAACATTAGACACATTAAACATTTTCTACATTTTACGGTAAAATCCACACTTGTTAACAGCACCAGGCACAGTGCTAGATTTTACCTGGGCTCTCTTACTGAGTCCCCTGAGGAAGTTACCAGCAGTAGCTCCAATTCCTAAACAGAGCTTAGGGAAGTTAAAAGATGTATTCAGATCTAATGCACAAAGTTAGCAAAAGTTAGCAGTTACCTCTAACAACAAGCAGTGGCCCCAGGGCCCGCCCTTTACTTACTGCACTATGATGTTACTTTTTACACACAGGGGTCAAACTCTCATCCACAGCTGATTTTTGTTTACCCTACCTATATACCTATAAAGCTCTCGCTTTTGCATATTTTCTTCTAAATGCTACCTTGCCATGACCAGTTTCCTAGGGGCTCAGTGATATGAGAGAGACAGCTGGACCTGACAGGAGCTGGATAATCACCCTGTTCAGGAGGTATTGGGGAAAGCGTGTGATCTTCCTCTTCTACAGAAACACTGCAGGGGCCCACAAATCATAGGCAGTGCTTAGCTAACAACAAAAACTAGTGGGTAATTAGGGCTGGGGCAAGAAGTTCTATCACTGATTTACCCTTTTAATAGAAGTGCTCACGAAACTGTTGAAATCTTAATGTTTACTAAACTGATCTTCTGTATATATAGAAAATTGAAAATGAATCTTGATGTGAATGGAAGGGGAGAGAGAGCGGGAAAGGGGAGGGTTGCGGGTGGGAGGGAAGTCATGGCGGGGGGAAGCCAATGTAGTCCATAAGCTGTACTTTGGAAATCTATATTCATTAGATAAAAGTTAAAAAAAAAAAAAAAAATAGAAGTGCTCACGAAGGGCCTCTTAACCCCCACCGCCTTACCTTGGAATCTGCTCTCTGGCCTCGGGTTCTGACCCTGCCTGTAGTCTCCCGCTCTCCCTCAAGACACAGAGCCCCTTCCCCTACACACCTCCTCGGATGGTCTGCGGCAGAGCTCCAGACGCCACCGCTAGCCTCCCCGAGCCAGTCTCCAAGGACCCCCAAATGGGGACAAAACCCAGGAAGACCCTTCGCTTTTCCGGAGGCTCCTCGGCCTCCGCTTCTCGGCTGTCCTGCGCCACAGAACAGGGGGTCCCGTGGGTCTCGGGTCTCTCGCGAGGCGCTCCGCGGCGGGCACGAGGGAGATCTCGGCCGTGGGTCCAGGACGGACGCTGCCCCCGACCCGGCTCAATCGGCGGGGAACCGTGCGACCCCGCGCTGTCAGCCCCGGTTACCTTGTCGTTGTCCAGACGCGTCTCCAGGATCTTATGTAGCTTGCGCGACAGCGGGTTGTTGGACTGCGACGAGGCGCCGCCCGCCCCATTGCTGAGGCCATTGGCAGCCCCGGTCGCCGGCACCGCGACCACTTCCCCACTGGCCTCGGCCATAGCGCCGCGCCTCCAGCCCACAGAGGCAGCCAGCCCTGCCACCTCAGCCTTAGGAAGGCACCGGGCAGAAGCCCGGGTACTGCGCATGTGCGCAACCTGCCGCGCATGCGCCTCGGTCCCGGAAGACGACCTCAGGTCACTTTGCTCAGGACCCTGGAAGCCATCTGCGTATAGAAGATGTGGAGAGGAAGGGGTCAGGGAAGTCCGTCTGGTGGAACGATATTTATTATAAATATGTTATATGTTTAAAAGAGGTTTGGGAGGCCGGCGCCGCGGCTCACTAGGCTAATCCTCCGCCTAGCGGCGCCGGCACAGAAAAAGCGACCTGGTGGGGTGCCCGAGCAGGACACTGGCTTAAAGGAAGTGTCCCGGGTTGTTTAAGGCATTACTGCTTTTTCCATTGGATCGGTCTGTGGGAGTGTCCATTGGACGGGGGTTTCACTGTGTGTTGATTGGCTTGGGAGTCATGGAGTTAGCTGGGGGGTCTCCTGGAGACGCTTTAGGAGCTCAGCCCCCTCCTCGGCCAGCTCTGGGTGAAAGATTGCACCCACCGTGAAGGTGTAATTTAAAGCTACATGGTCACACAGTGGTGAGATACCAGTCGTCTGGAGACAAGCTTGTGAAGGACATTCTAGCTATGTCTAATGGGCCCACAGACACCCAGCCACACTGGACAGCCTCACTGCGCCTGGCAGTAAAAGTTGTAGAGGTGGGGCTGACGTAGGGGGTAAAGCCGCTGCCTGCAGCACCAGCATCCTATAGGGCACCGGTTGGACTCCCGGTTGCTCCACTTCCTATCCAGCTCTCTGCTGTGGCCTGGGAAAGCATTAGAAGATGGCCCAAGTCCTTGGGCCCCTGCACCCTCGTGGGAGACCTGGAAGAAACTCCTAGCTTCCACTGGTGCAATGCCAGCTGTTGTGGCCAGTTGGGGAGAGTGAACCAGCAGATGGAAGTCAGTCTCTCTCTCTCTCTCTCTCTCTCTCTCTCTCTCTCTCTCTCTCTCTCTCCCCGTGTGTGCGTGTGTGTGTGACTCTGACTTTCAAATAAAAAAATCTTTAAAAAAATATTGTTTCTAATGAAATATACCGTATCTTAATACTTTTTTTTTTTAACGTGGACATTGAAGGCATACTGTGTATCATGTATTCTACTATTCCTTGGACTTAATAATCAGGGCTCACAGTGTCATTCGAGCCTTGTTTCTAGGCACTTGCTGCATGACTGCCACACTCAAGCCTTACTGTGTCAGCTGGGCATCTAGTGCATCACACTGTGGACTTACACGATCCTCTTGTCCTAATCCATTTGGGCTGTTATTTGAAAATACTAGGCCGGCGCCGTGGCTCAATAGGCTAATCCTCCGCCTTGCGGCGCCGGCACAGCGGGTTCTAGTCCCGGTCGGGGCACCGGATTCTGTCCCGGTTGCCCCTCTTCCAGGCCAGCTCTCTGCTGTGGCCAGGGAGTGCAGTGGAGGATTGCCCAAGTGCTTGGGCCCTGCACCCCATGGGAGACCAGGAGAAGCACCTGGCTCCTGCCATCGGATCAGCGCGGTGCGCCGGCAGCAGCGCGCCAGCCGCGGCGGCCATTGGAGGGTGAACCAACGGCAAAGGAAGACCTTTCTCTCTCTCTCTCTCTCTCTCTCTCACTGTCCACTCTGCCTGTCAAAAAAAAAAAAAAAAAAAAGAGAGAGAGAGAGAAAGAAAGAAAGAAAATACTATAGCCTGGGTAGTTTATAAGTGGCAAATTCCTTTCTCACAATTCTGGAGAATGAGAAGTCAAGATCATGGCTCTGGCGTAATGGGTGACCTTTGAGGGCGTGCTTCCTGGTTCATAGCAACATTTTATCTGTAACCTCACATGGTAGAATTGAAGGGCTATCTAGCCCTCTGAAGTCTCTTTTATAGAGGCATTAATACCAATCATGAGAGCTCCACACTCACGACATAATCACCTCCCAAAGTTCTTATCTCCTGCTACCATCATTTTGAGCATTAAAATTTCAACATTGGAATAGGAGGGGGACACAAGTATTCAGAACATAGCACCACTCTTCCAGAAATATCTGCTCTTGTGAAACTGGTGAAATTCTAATTGTCCCTTCAGGCTCCACTCAAGTATCAATTCTCCACTCAAGTTATCAAAGCACACCATCTCCCCTCGGGCAGAATTCATTATTGCCTCATGCAAATTCCATAGCACTTGATTTACAAGTGTATAGGATTACCTTTAAATTTATTTGTTTGTTGTTTTCCTAATAGGCTATAAGTACCTGGTTATGGTAACATGCCACTCACTTTTGCCTTCCAATTACCTAGCATTGCTTCTTGCACAATATATGAGTTGTAGGAAATGTGTAATATGATAAAAGTATGCATAGCTTTCATTTTTTTTTACTAAAATAAACATCTCTTAATTCTATCTTCTATGAGCTTTTTGAAGTGCCCCGCATATGCTTCAGTAAGCTTAAGGTTTACAGAATAAAAAGTATTGGGCCCAGTGCTGTGGCATAGCAGGTAAAAGCTGCCACCTGCAGTGCCAGCATCCCATATGGATGCCAGTTCGAGTCCCAGCTGCTCCACTTCCAATCCAGCTCTCAGCTATGGCCTAGGAAAGCAGTAGAAGATGACCCAAGTCCTTGGGCCCCTGCACTCACATGGGAGACCCTCGAGAAGCTCCTGGCTTCGGATCAGTGCAGCTCCAGCCATTGTGCCTCTCTATAACTCTGCCTTTCAAATAAATATTTTAAAAAGAGAATAAAAAGTATTATGACTGTACAAGTGTACAAGATAAGGTTTTTAACTACAATTAATAGATGATTGTGAATGATTTAAATAGAAACATTTATTTTAAAAAAATTAAAATTTATATGAGAAGCAGAAAGATAGAAAGGATGGGGCATGGCTCCCATCCACTGGCTCATTCCCCAAAATGCCCATCATGGCTAGGACTGGGCTGGAGCTGAAGCCAGAGCTATGAATGCAATCTGGATGTCCCTTGAGGGGGGCAGGAGCTATCACCACTGCCTCCTGCCATTGCATTGGTGAGAAGCTGGAGTCAGCCGTATGGGCTGGGAATCAAATCCAGGCACCCCAGGATGGGACGTGGGCATCTTAACCACTAGGATAAATGCCCACTCCCAGAAATTTATTTATTGAAAGAATATTGGATATGGGCCGGCACCGCGGCTCACTAGGCTAATCCTCTGCCTTGCGGCGCCGGCACACCGGGTTCTAGTCCTGGTCGGGGCGCCGGATTCTGTCCTGGTTGCCCCTCTTCCAGGCCAGCTCTCTGCTGTGGCCAGGGAGTGCAGTGGAGGATGGCCCAAGTGCTTGGGCCCTGCACCCCTTGGGAGACCAGGATAAGTACCTGGCTCCTGCCATCGGATCAGCACTGTGCACCAGCAGCAGCGCGCCAGCTGTGGCGGCCATTGGAGGGTGAACCAAGGGCAAAGGAAGACCTTTCTCTCTGTCTCTGTCTGTCACTGTCCACTCTGCCTGTGAAGAAGAAGAAGAAGAAGAAGAAGAAGAAGAAGAAGAAGAAGAAGAAGAAGAAGAAGAAGAAGAAGAAGAAGAAGAAGAAGAAAGGAAGAAAGGAAGAAAGGAAGAAAGGAAGAAAGGAAGAAAGGAAGAAAGGAAGAAAGGAAGAAAGGAAGAAAGGAAGAAAGGAAGAAAGGAAGAAAGGAAGAAAGGGAAAGAAAGAAAGAATATTGGGCACATCTTACATCAATGCGAAGGAGGAAGGCCAACCTTGAAAAGAGGCAGGAACAAAAGGAAGCGAAGCACAGATAGCCATTACCTAAATCACTTTAGGAAACAGTTCATAGTGTCATTTCTGAGTCATGAATGCACAGGCGCTGGCACACTGGCACCTTTGACACTGGCAACCCTGGACACAGGATACATCCATGGCACAGCTGCTAATACTATCCCCAGAAAGTCTTCGTTGCTTCAAACTTTATCATCTCTTCAGGAATTCTCTACTATCTATAGTTTTTGTGTCACTTTCTCTTGAGTCAAGGTCTAGAATAGATACTTCTCATTGGCAGAGTACAGCTAATGGATTTCTGCTCTCTGCCATGAGAGTTGAGAAGATGAAAAATTAGGCAGTGCAGAAAGGGAATTCACATATTGTGCAATCCCCGCTCTTAACTAAAAACTAAATGGATGAGTGGATGAATACATGTTTAAGTAGTGAATGGCAAGCGTACACTGCATTATTCTTCAGCTAGGCAATAAGAACATACACTCTCCCACATACTTATGATTAAATGTGTTGCATTATATGGTAGTATTCACCACATAATCAAACACTTCCTCATTTATAGGACAAGACAAAGTCTAATGTTTTTCTATTCAACTCATAATCAAATCCTTCTCTAGTTGTGTTAAATTCTTTCCTCAAAATCATGTTAAGTATTGATTAAACTCTAAAGTGACCACCAATCCTCTGCAAAGTGTTACTCAACAAAGAAAAATTAGAAAACAGGAATAAATAACATTGTGTTCATTTTTTTTTTGCATTTGTCACAAAGTTCTTGTAGAGTGTATGATTTCTATCTTCTCCATAATTTAGTTGCCTTTAGATAACATATAAACTGATCGAAGTTCTTTATCTGCTGAGTAGACCCAAACTATCACACCAAAAGCACTGTCTGTTGTTTCTGCCTATACTCAATTACCACAGTTTCCTTCTAATTTTGTCCCAGAACCTCAAAGTCCTAATAAATACTCAAGTATTCCCTAGGTTCATCCTTTGCTCCTTCCTGCCTATACCATTTTCAAAAAATTCCTCCTGCATGGTCATGGTCAGTCACTCACTACTTAACTCCATTTTTCATTCCTTTACCCAGTGCAGTGAGATCTCAGCCTCCAGTTCAATGGGATCATTGTTGCTGCTAAGTTCCCTATCCCAGGGCCTTAACACCTTTATCACAACTGCCAAGCTCTTCCATCTGCTGGTTCACTATCCAAATGGTCATAACATAGCATGGGCTGGTCTGATGCCAGGAGCAAGGAGCTTCTTGCAGGGCTCCCACGTGGGTGGCCAGGGTACTTGTGCAATCTTCGCTTTTTTCTCAGGCACAATTA